TACAAGATATCATAAATATAACAAATATTTACTTTGCATCGCGAAGGTCAGATAATTTTTTATAAAAATATGAGTCGAATAAATAATACTTCCTTGCCTTAGCTTCATCGTGTTCACGAAGTTTATTCAGTGCATATCTATATTATAATTAAGACTTAGCGTGCATAAATAACGCTGAAAGAAAAAAAAGATGATAAAGTATTGTATATAATACCTCATATAAAATACAATAAGAGTGTCGTTCAACTCGTCCATGTCTATTAAACGATTGTAATCTGACCCAGTGATTAAAATTGATGAATATCCAACACAATGGTAGTAAAATAACTTGCTAAGGAGAAAGATTTGTGTTAAATTTTTTTATTAATTTACGAGTGAAAATTATAAAAACAATTAAATTACCTATTTGGATCTCGTCTACCAAGACTATGTGAAACACCAGACACAGGTTTTGGTGGAACTTTTGAATATGGCACAATGTCTGTTGAAGATTTATATTTTTTCTTAAGACGTATTCCATTGAATCTTGTTGAAAAATCTGTATTCGGCTCGTGATCCGAAGATGGACCAGCTCTCTTACGATTTAAACTGTTTCTTCTTCTCACAGAAGAAACTACGATAACGTCTTCATCTGGAAATTTGTAGGACATATGATTGGTCAATGTTAATAACTTGATGGACTCATAAAAATGTGGAATGGCTTTGTCCTTGACTTTGCAACGCCCGTACCCGTTGAATTACTTAAATTGTTTGAATTCGTATTTGAAAGCAGTGTTGAATGTGATGCGGTATTTGTCGAATTGGTTGAGGATGACACTAAGGTATTTCTACATATTTCTTTTCCATGTTTAGAAGTTGGCGGAGATGCATTTCGACTCAACATTTGTGTTCTCATCAGCGGGTTTTTAATCTTTCCAGATGGAAGCACATTTCCATCAGAGTCAAAATATTTTTTAATTAAACTTTTAAATTTTTCATCCTCCATTGGCTTTTTCGCAACACTATTTTCCGAATTTTTAAAATGACTCATAAATTTCTTGATGTTTGATGAAGACAAAGTTGTAATGAATAAATACGAAATCTATTGCTCTTTTAAATTATACAGACATTTTCTCACCTTGAAAGCGTCTAAATCACGCGTAACACATAGAATAGACATTTGCTCACTATCCGGGGTAGAATGATCATTATCATACATAATGACTTGAGCTTTTGCTCGAACTAGTAACATCGCAAGGTCAGATTGTAATTGAAACTCGATTCTATCGATGCCTTTATCTATCTGCATTTTGATAAAATGGTCGCCTGAACAGGTGAGATATACAAAATTGTCCGTCGTTGTAATAGCGTGCTGGTGACCATTGCACCAAACATGCGTTCCAAAGCCACTACAGCAACAGTCTACAACCTCCAAGGGCACACTTAAGTGCAAAGACTCAGCGCTCATCATCAAAAGAACAATTTGTTGAGTGAATAAGTGCTTGGCGAAGCTAAATCAACAATAAAAAAAACTCGTGAAGTTCTATGATTATTATAATTTATGGTAAAGTACGTGCTACGTACAATTTAATTGGTCAATGGTCAATCATCAAAATCGATAAAAAAGTTCTGAAGTTAGGATTTGCAGATCGTGAAAACTGCGGATAATTACAGATTAAAGAATTGCAATATAAATTCTACAAAGTACGCTTACTAATTTCCTGATGAGTGTCGAAGAGTTCGTTACAACAAGTACTTCCAAGAATATTTGCTATTTTAGAGGTTCGCTAAAGCGGGTAAAAGAGCCACATGCATGCGCCACTTAATCCAATATAAATATTTGTTTTTTTTTTAAATATATGCTGTATATATTAGGATTATATAAGTATATCGTAAAATTTCTTATGTAAAAAATTTTTTTTTAGATATTTAAGAAAATCCACCCGAATAGTAATAAATAGGTTAAAATTTAT